GCCAATGATCCTATCAATCACGCGCGATCTAATGTACTGGCCTAAGCGTGCCTCGAACTGTATCAGTCCCCGTCAGGGAGCACAAGCCAAACTGATCAGTGCAAATGGTTGCGACAAACCGTTCTCGGGTATATAATGCATTTCATCGAAAATGACCCAGTCCACTTTGCGCACCAAATCGGAGCCACGGTACAACAGCGAGCGCAATATATCGGTGCTCATCACCAGGCAAGAAGCGTCCGGGTTCAGTGTCATGCCGGCACTCATCAAGCCAATATCCTGAAATCAAGCACCAACAGACTCATTTATCAAAAGCATTGCACCAGAAAAACACTTACGCCAAATTCTTCGCGCAATTCTCGATAAATCTGATTGGGCAGGGCTTCCTTCGGTGACGTGTAGATGACACGCTGTTTATCGCGCAGCGACATCGCTATCGCATATCTAAACAAGGCACTAGCAAAATTCGTAAGTTCTAACAGTTATCACAGTGGGGACTTGTGAAACTCACAGCGCAACGACGCTCTTGCCAGCCGAGGTATGAGCCGAAACGAGTACAGAATGACCGTTATCGATGCAAGTGATTGCATCTCTTTGAAATGCATCCAACTGGAACTCGTAAATTCGGGCTGGAGCGCTTTGACCCGGCTGCAGTGGCGTATAGTCCGAATCAGCCGGCAAAACAACCTCAAAAAATTCAACTCCTAAAATGACAGCACAAAAACAAGCATCCATATTAGAAGAGGATACAGCGCAAGACTTGCCTTCCAAAGAAGCAAGCATAATTTGGCCGCAAGGCAAGTTCGCGTCACTGTAAGCTGTATTACAGATGAAAAGTCAGATACACACAAGAATTTCAAACCACACAATAAAACAGTGAAGGAATCTCAACCATAGAAAGAATTCGCGATCAATACAAAAGCGATGTCTTCTACATCCAACGCTTCATCCGCGAAATTTTCCTGTCCTCCCTCCTCTCCTTCCCCTGCTTCTCAACTATATTTCTGTAAGTGAAGCAATTTCTTGGCCCTATAAACGGTTAGCGAAAATTTTCATCATTGCTGAACATGTTAAATCCGAAACAAATAATGCTGAATTTAGCTGGCCAGTTGATTTTTTTCCTATTTGCCGTTTGCAGTTTTGGAAAAAAAGGAAAAAAAAAACGCCTGCTGTTAGCTCTATCAAGGGGCATGTACCATCTTAGTACGACAAAATCAAATAAGGGAGTGTTTTTTCAGCATTTTTATGCGTTTTGTGCTGTGTAACAACAGTACAAAACGCATATCGTCATGGGGTTCTCCGTGTGTGTGTTTGTGTGTGTGTGTGTGTGTGTGTGTGTGCCCGTAGCAACTTATCCGCAACTTTCAACTCGAGAACCGCAAAAGCTAAGAAGCTGAAAATTTAGGGGAACGTTCCCACCTACGTGTGAGCCCACAAATTTGAATTCAGCTTATCCGTACCTGCGGGTAACACGTACGGCCCCGTAAAAGTTTTTTACAGGTGAATTATCTCGGGAACCACGAGGTCTAGGCAGCTGAAATTTTAGGGTAATGACCCCCTGCCCACGCTCAACCTTGCCCATTCAAATTCAGCCTTCCCGTGCTCTCGGATATCACCTACGAGCTAGTGAAAGTTTTTACGGGTAAATTATTATCTCGGGAACTACGGGGTCTAGGAAGCTAAAATTTTAGGGTAATGACCCCCTGCCCACGTTCAATCTTGCCTATTCAAATACAGCGTCCCCACGCTCTTGAGTATCACCTACGGCCTCGTGAAAATTTTGGCGGGTAAACTATTAACTCTGGGATCACAGAAAGATATTCACCCTTCAAGGTCTCGAATTTATCTTTCATGCGCTGGCGCGTGACATTTTCAACTGTTTTCCAATGTTTGAGCTATTTTTGCATAGACTAAAGTACAAAGCAGTGAAAATCATAAATAGGCAATCGTTCGATGGGCTGAATTGCACAAAACGCATGATCGCATTGGCTAGTCTGGTGCGCGTTGCTATTTATTGATACTGCCACAGCCTGTACCCCAATACTGCCCACACTGCTTGGTTCGCTGCCAGGAAATGAATAGGCCGAAAATGGACAAAGAGAATCTTCTCACTGCCGCAAATGCACTGCCGTGAGGAGAAAATGGCAAAGGGATAGTGTCATCACCAGGGAAGCGACCATTCAAAATCACTTGAAAATGCTTTTTGCGGGCCGCCGCTGCGCCAGGAGCTGAAGCAAAGCTTGAAATTACCTCGTGCACATAGTTCCCCTCCGAATTGACACTTTTATACTTGTTCCGTCGATGAGCGCTGAATCCCTGCAACGCGGCCTGCTCTGGTTCGCCTCCTGGACCTGTGAAGAGCACAGCGTATTAGTTGAGAATATAGCACTCAAACCACCACCACCTCTTTTTAGGGGCGCAAAAGAAGTAAAGTAGGGGAAGCTCTGCACTGTAATGTTGTTCTGCTGTGCTAAATGTAAAATTTGCTTGCAGACAAAAATGCCAAAAAACGCTAAAAGCGCGAAAAAATCGACGATGAGAGGGAAGGAGGCCCGAAGACGATTGAAACTGATTCCCAAAAGAAACGCCCAAATTCAAAACGGATCTGAGAAGGACGCCGAATGTTAACAGCACTAGTTACAAGCTGAATTCACCGGATGGACGAGATACTGGCAAGGAATCTCTCTGTCGCTTGTTTTGATCGTAAGCTGGTGCTTAAGCTGATTGTTGCATGGTTGTAGCATACTAGTAATAGGGCAAGACTAGAACTAACTGTGTATGTATAGACGTAGAAATATAGCTGGTGTAGAAAAAAATAAGTGAGTAAGAGTTAAGAAGTTTCGGTCCATTAAGTCATATACGTCTTAGCTCAATACCGTAACTGGACTTCGTCAGTATGACGGTCACGGTGTTCAGAGATGACTGGAAAAAGAGAGAGGAACGGAAGGCAGGAAGAGCGAAGAAGAAAAGAAAGATAGGAGA